TCTGCTGAATAAGGAAGGTTGCAGGAGAAGATCAACCAGCCACCTTTGGGTACAGCACGGACTCAGTGCATCTAATAAACGCCTGTACGTATACAGACACATTCACACGCAACAGACAAGAGGCAGGAGCAAAGTCAGAGCTGCCAGACATCCCACCTTCTGCCTCGCATGCTTCTCTGTCCACTGCATGGCGTTCTTGAGGAAGACTGGCTTATTGTATTTAAACTCTGAGGACTAAGATGGAAGCAGAGAGTCAACGGAGAGAGAAGAGATTTGTCAGCTGCAGCCGCCACACAACCCTCCTGAACAGTGAGTGGGACATGGGGAAAGTGGGCTGAGCACTTACGATGTCAGCCATGAGCGGGTCATCCGGGTTGGGCTCGGCCATGAGCTGCTGAACAGAAGTCAGCAGGGTTGCGATGTTGAGGGACGGTCTCCAGGCACCCTATACAGACAGACAGATGGACAGCCAGGTAGCGGCTCTAAGAATGTGCTTCTCCAATCACATGAGGCTAGAGGGTGGACCTTGTCCCCGCCACTCACTTTTGGTGGCAACTTGAGAACGTCTAGGCAAATCCGTCCAGCAGAGTCGATGTTGGGGTGATAGATTGGAGTCAGAAATCGGATCTGAGGAGGTTCAAATGGGTACCTTTGACAGCACAGGAGGACAGGGAAAGTTTCACTAGAATATTGCTCTGACATTATAAATAGCTGCTGACGACTAATTAGGACAGCAACCTTTGAGAGACAAACCTTTGTTCTCCTCCAATTTTTATGATGAAAATTTACAGTACTGAAAACTCTTTTACCCACCACCTGGATCAAGTCCCTAGCCCTTGAAATACTTTGGCATGATCTCCTAAGAATAAGGTCCCTCTCCTACAGAGCTGCAAAACTTTCAGTACACCCATGAAAAAAATACAAAAATTATTCCTCAGTCTCATCTACCACCCAGATTTCCTCAGTCTTGGCTGCAGTTTTATAAAGATGGATTTTGAAAAACAGGGTTCAATTCTGATTTACACACTACACCTGGTAGCTCTCTACCTGTGAGACACACACCTTGAAAAACCCCTGTGTGTCTCAGAACTGACATCCCTGGGATTACTGACCTACTTCTCTCGGGACCTGTAACAAACCTGGCCTGTGAACAGGTGTCTACAAACCACAAACTACAACCATCGCCCCCTGATGAGCATCTTAGAGCAGACCTGGATGAACAGGGGCCTTTACACAGGCAGAGGGAATGGGGCCCACCAGGGAGGAGGGGACAGAGAGCTGCTGTCACGGGGCTGTGGGGCACTAGTTTGGGAAGATGAAAAAGTTCTAGAGATGGATGGGGTGGGGTGGCTGGATGACAATGTGAATGCATCTGATGCCCCAAAACCATACACTTAAACAGGGTTAAAATGGTCAGTTTATGTGCGTGTTACTGCAATGGTGCGTGTGAGTTACAGTGGTGCGTCTGTGTTACCACGGTTATGTGTGTGTGACCGCAATGTTATATGTGTTACCACAATGGTATGTGGGTGTTACTGCAGTGGTAAACCTGGGGTGGGGGGTGGGGGTATTAGATGTGATCTAGCCCAGTTTTAAGAGAAAGAGATTGAACTCCAAAGATATGTGCTAGAGGTCACAGGAAGTCCTGATAAGATGAGGACTAAGATCCAGGTCCTGTAAGTCCTCTGTTCAACACTATACCACCCTGCTATCTTCCAGTAACTGGTTTGGTGTGGAAATGTAAATATAATTCACACTGACCTCTCTGGAATGTGAACTTCCAGCTTGAAAACACCTTTTTCATAAGGTGTGTTGGCTCCACCTAGTATCTCTTGAAAGAAAAAGAAAAAGAGGTAATTGGGTGACCTAAAGCAGCACACCGCCTGGTCCTGGCGGAGATGCTAGGTCTGGGACAGCGCTCTCAGGGTTTGACAAGCCCCATGCAAGGTACCAGCCTGCCCAAGGCTGGTGTCAACAAGGACTTCGTGGGAGATCTGGCCATAGACCACAAACACCTGCAGCTCTGCTGGGGTGGCTGGCTGTGTTCTGATCACGTGCTGCCTGGTCTGGCCTCATGGATACGTAAAGGTGACACATCTGTGGCGCTGAACTGCTTCAGAGCTGATGCCCAGGTCTTGGACATAAATCAGCAAGAGGTGGGGTAAAAGGCCAAAGAAAAACGTCATGGAGACCTTTTATAAATGTAACAAATGAGGCAGGCAGATGCACTCATGCCCTAATTCAGAGGAACACACAGTATTCATATCTCAGCACAACTTGACAGGGTTGAGACCCACACGCCTGGGGTGACACCTACGCGCACGCAGGTCTTCCATCCGGTCCCCGTTCTGCCAGCACGTGATGCCTGGGGGTGGCTCCGCGGCCAGCAGGCTCAGCTCTCGCTTCAGGCGCGATGTTCTCTGCATGACCTCACGTAGAAGCGGCTAGTTCACACTGGCTGGGATCCTGGGGAGAAGGGGGGCGCCCGCAAAAGGGTCAGCAGCAGTGAATTCTTAGTACCAGTTTCAGTTCACTGAAGGACAGAGACAGCCCTCGTGTTACTTGCTATTCTGAGAAGGGAGTCTTGAGTTTTTTCCATTTCTCTCCTGCTATCTATTCAAGCAAACACATTTTAAAAATAAAGTATAAAACAATGAAAAGTTTTTACAAACAAAACACTAAAGTTCTAAAGTGAAGTCACTCAGTCGTGTCCGACTCTTTGCGGCCCCATGGACTGTAGCCCACCAGGCTCCTCCATCCATGGGATTTTCCAGGCAAGAGTACTGGAGTGGGTTGCCATTTCCTTCTCCAGGGCATCTTCCTGATGCAGGGATTGAACCTGGGTCTCCTGCATTGCAGGCAGATGCTTTACCCTCTAAGCCTCCAGGGAAGTCCACAAACAAAACACTACATGCTTTAAATTAATGTCTATCTCCACTGATAAGTCACTAACTCCTGAGGCATTAGTTAGTGTGGGTCTAGTTTTGCTCCCCACGCGTCCTCAGGGGCCAAGTAGAGAAGCTGATGGTCAAGCACCAGTTTGGACGGGGTGGGGGGGATGGGCACAGATCAAGCATAGAGACTGGGGACAGGCAGTGTTCCAACCAGAGGTTTATAAACACTGCTTCAAGGCCTGAGGTCTTCTCCACGTGATTTGGAATCCACACATTTCTCAGCTCTTCAGAGCTTCCACTCCATCAATTTCTTCTTTTTCTGGTGTCTCCAATCTTCTTTTCTTCTGCCCATTAACAAATACACTCAAAGTCTCATTGCTCATCTAAAACAAGCCCCCCCCCCCGCCCCCCAGCCCACTTCTCTGGCCGTCTCCCTCCATGGGTGAGTCACGAACACTGCCTCTCAGTCTGCCACCATCTCTGCACTTCATTCATGGCATTTTTGACAAACACATCTCTTACACTTACACTTTTGTATATTAAAATTTCCTTAACCCCAAATTTAGATATTTTCACATTTAAGTCTTCGATCCACTAGTAATCAATCTGTGTGTGTACTGTGAGTAGGGGTCCAAGTCTGAGTTTCTCCCCTCATATGAAAAACCAATTGTCCTAGTCCCATTTATTGAAAAGTCCATCTTTTCCCTGGTGACGTCATATTAAATATGTTCCACTGGTCAACTGGTACAAGTACCCCTCTGCTTTGTTGTTCAGTTGCTAAGTTGCATCCAACTCTTTATATATAAACATATATATAAAGCAAGAAGGACTTAATTTATAGCACAGGTAAGTATATTCAGTATCTTCTATTAATCTATTATGAGAAATATATATATATATATGCACATACACGTATAACTGAACCGCTTTGCTGTATACCAGAAACTAATACAGAATTGTATATTTCAATAAAAAAGAAAACAATTTACAATAACATCAACACAAATATTTAGGAATAAATTCAACAAAAAGTACAAAGTCTATACTTCGAAAACCATAAAACATTGTTGAAAGAAATTAAAGACTAAATAGATGGCAAAACATCTCATATCCATGGATTTTTAAGACGGCAACACTTCACAAACTGACCTGTAGATTCAACAGGACCCTATCAAAACTCCCAGTGTCCTCTCTCTCTCTTTTTTATTTTTGCAGAAATTGACAGATCCTAAAAATGCATATGGAAATGCAAGGGAGCCAGAATAGTCAAAAGAATCATGAAAAAGAGGAACAAATTTGGAGGACTCAATTTTCTGATTTCAAAACTTATGTATACATAACTACAGTTGTCAAGACTGGATGGTCCTGGAGTAAAGATAGACAGGTCAAATGAATAGAACTGAGAATCCAGAAATGCACTCACACATGTGTGCTGCATGCTAAGTCACTTCAGTCCTGTCTGACTCTGTGACCCCATGGACTGTAGCCCACCAGGCTCCTCTGTCCATGGGATTCTCCAGGCAAGAATACTGGAGTGGGTTGTCATGCCCTCCTCCAGGGGGTCTTCCTGACCCAGAGATGATGGGAACCTGCATCTCCTGAATTGGCAGGCGGATTCTTTACCACTGAGCCACCAAGGAAGTCCCAGAATCAGCAATACTACAGGCAAATTAGTATGTTAAACAGAATTAATTTAACACTACAACAGACATTCAGTAAATTATTCCAAATTTCTTTATCCACATCTTTAGGACCATCATCTCTGGGATCCAGTTATTTTACTAGGTCATTAACTATTTTTATATACTGTGGCGCTCCTAGTAAAGAATCCTCTTGCCAATCCAGGAGTCCCAAGAGACGCTGCTCGGCTCCGTGGGTTGGGAAGATCCCCTGGAGGAGGGCATGGCAACCCACTCCAGTATTCTTGCCTGGAGAATCCCACGGACAGAGGAGCCTGGCGGGCTACAGTCCATGGGGTCGCAAAGAATCAGACACGGTTGAGCGACTGAGCACCGTTTATACACTGACCCTTACTGCTTTCCTCAGTAAGCAGATACTGGGAATCAGGAACAATAAAACAAATACACACAATTAATAAAACGTCGGATGGGCGGCTGGGGCGGCTGTGGGACGCCGGCCGGGCCGGGGCAGAGCGCCAACCGCGTTGCCAAGACATGCAGAGCGTCCGTTCTACAACCGATAGTCGGAGAAGAAGAGGCTCCGCATTCAGGCAGAAAGAAAGCGCCCCCAGCCCCCCACACCGCCCGTGGACGCCCACCCACGGGCCTCTCTCACCTGCACGGTTGCTCCTCGCAGCGCAACGGCCCCGAGCAGCCGGCACCACGCCTGCGCGAGCCCGGCCGCTGCCTTGCCCCGCCTTCCCGCCGGGAGGCTGTGATTGGTCCGGGCGGGCCCCGCCCACGCGCTTTGAACGCGAGCGCGGCTTGCTGGGACGGTTTCGCCTTCGGCTTGCTGCGTCCCGGGAGGAGGCGAGCTGGGAGGATCAGAGAGGGTCAGTGTGGGAGCGGATTGCCGTCCGGGTGTTCGCGCGGAGGGGCTGCCGCCTCAGGACCGTCAGACCTGAGAGCCCGAGGAACCGGACGTTCGGAGCCGGGCTCCGACTGGGGGCGCGCTAGGGCCGCGCCCGCCACGCCTCCGACTCGGCCGCGGGAGGAGCGGCCGGTTCGCCTGAACCCGCGGGCGGCCCAGTCGGGACTTTTGCTTCCGGCCCAGACCGGCGTTAAGTAGCCCTGGTTCCTGGTGGCCGCAGCTTGGGCGTCCTCTCGGCCCCGCAGGCCCGCGGAGCTCCCGGGGCTTCCCGTGGGCGGCGGGAGCGGGCCCCGCCGGGAGCCACGAACCACGCGGGAATCCCGTTCCTGTCCAGTCAGCTGTCGGTCCTCACTTATTGTCAGCACCCACTTACGGTGCGGACGTGTTTTCTGTCTTAACGCTGGAGTTGGCTGCCCATTTTACTACTGATACGTTCTATTTTGATCTCTTCGATATGGTTCCTTGTTTTCCACCTCAACTGTAATTGTGTCGCAATTGCTGTTCTGTCTTCGGAACTGAAATTAATTCCTTCCTCCGGCGGTTTTCTGAGAATGTGCTGTGCTTGTGCTGTGCTCAGTCGCGTCCGACTCTTGGCGACCCCGTGGACAGTAGCCCTCCGGGCCAGAATACCGGAGTGGGTAGCCACTTCCTTTTCCAGGGTATCTTCCCAACCCAGGGATCGAACCCAGGTCTCCCGTATTGCGGGCTGATTCTTTAACAGCTGAGCTACCAGGGAAGCCCAAGAATACTGGAGTGGGTAGCCTGTCCCTTCTCCAGGGGATCTTCCCGACCCAGAAATTGAACTGGGTTCTCCTGCATGGCGGGCGGATTCTTTACCAGCTGAGCTACCAGGGAAGCCTGGAAATCTTTCAAATGTCCTTTAGACGAGCCAGGCATTATGCTAACTCTGGTGGAAAGGAGAGATGGTATGATAAAACAAGCAAAGACCTGTAGTTTTGGGAACCAAACACAAAAAACGGGGTAACAGGGAAAAGAAAAAAAGCTCCATGGGCTAAATGTACAGTCCCTATTTGTCCACCAGAGGGAGGTATGTTAACTGGCGAGAACAGAGGCCATGCTGAAAAATTTTCATGAACTGTACAGGTGTCATTGCTTTAAAAAATGGAGTATGGACGTCCCAGGTGGGCCAGTGGTAAGGATTCCACCTGCCAGTTCAGGAAATGCAAGAGATTTGGGTTGGATCCCTGAGTGGGAAGATCCCCTGGAGTAGGAAATGGCTACCCACTCCAGTATTCTTACCTGGAAATTTCCATGTGCAGAGGAGCCTGGAGGGCTGCAGTCCATGGGGTCACAGAGTCGGACAAAAGTGAGCGCATGCACTCGCGCGCGCCCGCACACACACACACACACTAATTTGTAGTTTACTTTTTAAACTACTGATACTTTCTATTTTGATCTCTTCGATATGGGAAGATGATTTTTTTTTTTTAGTTATACCACTTTATTGCTACCAACCCATCTCCCTCCACCCTCGTGCACACATGCTCAGTCATGTAATCCCATGGACTTCAGCCCGCCAGACTCCTCTGTCCATGGACTTTTCCAGGCAAGAAAACTAGAGTGGGTTGCCATTTCCTTCTCCAGGGAAGATGATTTTTTAATAAAAGTTTCCTGATGTATGTGCAATATAACTGGCACACTCAGTACATTTAAAAGTACAGAATTGTGGTGATCGTTGGTAATGTCACTATGTTGTGCTCCAGGAACTGATGTAGTTTATAGCTTAATTATACTTCAACAAACAAAAAATCTTTATAGATAAAGAGAAGAACAGATCATCTGTAGTTACCAGATCTGGGGGAATTGGAGGAAGGTGGTCAAGAGGTACCAATTCCAGTTATCAGATAAGTAATTACAATCCATGGGGTCACAAAGAGTCGACACGACTGACTGACTAAGCGCTGCCTGTGTGCGCGCACGCGCGCGCGCACACACACATGCACGGATATAATGTCCAAGATGATAAATAGAATTAACACTGCCCTATGTTATATATGAAAGTTAAGAGTAAATCTTGGGAGTTCTCATCACAAAATATATATTGTTTTATTTTGTATCAGTATTGTGATGACCCAAGCTTACTTGTGGTCATTATCTTACGATGTATATGTCAAGTCATTATGCTGCACACTTTAAACTTATACATGCTGAATGTCAATTATATCTCAATAAAACTGGAAGAAAAAACAAGAATTATGTTTTACTTATACAGGACTGTCAGTTCTGTTGTTCACTTGTATATAAAATATCAGTATTATTTTCTTTACCATATTTAGGAAATATAGACTATCATGTTTGTTTAATTTAGTAAACAATTGTATAAGTTTATTGTGTAAGTTTATTTTCAGAGTTTGAGCAAGCTCCGGGAGTTGGTGATGGACAGGGAGGCCTGGCATGCCGCAGTCCATGCGGTCGCAGAATCGGACACGACTGAGCAACTGAACTGAACTTTCAGAGAGCCTCTGTTGGGGGAAGATGTTTCAGGGAAAACTCAGATGACTTTAATTTTTAAAAACTTTTCAAGTCATACACAGATTGTTGATTCCTACTATAAACTGCAAGGATCCTTTCCAGGGTCTTTTCAGGGCTCCTTGTTAATGCGTTCTAAGTTACAACGTTAATAAAACTCTGGATTTACAAGCAGGGCAGGGTTTCGAGAATTTCGAGTACTTTCAGTCCAGTTTTTCTCAATAGAAAGCAAGAATAATTACCGACTTTTTCCACTTCAAAAGACAGACGTTATAATTAGGGAGCCGAGATTAGCTGGAAGTCAGAACAAGAATAAACCACGGCTTTCAACAAGCGCTCGGAGGTGACTCGGGCCGCGGACAGCTCCCGCCTTCGGGCCAGAGGTGACCCCGCGCGTCCGCGGCCAGGCTGAGCGCCTCCGGACCCCGCCTCTTTCCGGATGCATCCAGGGAATTGAAGTTCCGGTCGGTCCCGGGCGCGCCCGGAGTGGTGGGGCGCGCGAGGGGCTCCCACTACAAGTCCCGTGATGCCTCGGGGCGCCGCCCGCGCCTGCGTGCTGAGGCCTCGGGGCGTGCGGGCGGCGGAACAGTAAAGATGGCTGCGCGCGGGACTCCGCCCTCCGCTCCCGGCTGAGGCGCTCGGCAGCGGCGGCAGCCCGGGGCAGCGGAGGGCGCGGGGCCGCAGGCTCGGCGCGGGGGCCCGCGGGTCCGCTTCGAGGACGGCGCCGTGTTCCTGGCCGCCTGCTCCAGCGGGGACACCGACGAAGTGAGGCGGCTCCTGGCCCGGGGCGCCGACGTGGACACGGCCAACGTGGACGGCCTGACCGCCCTGCACCAGGTGAGCGCGCGGGGCGGGTGGTCGAGCCGGGGTTCGCGCCGCCCGGTGCGCGCGGTGTCCCCCAGTGCGCGCCCGCGCCGCCCGCCCGGTGCCCTCGCGGAGGCCGGCTGTCCGTGCTCCCGAGAGCAGGAATGGGTCCGCGCCGCGTCCTCGGGTTTGCGAAGGTCCGGGGGCGGCTTCGTAACCCCTGGCCCAGCTCGCGGCCGCGCGCGACCTCAGGCTCTCCCCGCCGCGTCAGGCGCGCCGGCGGAGAGGCCACCTGCGGGGTCCTCTGGCTTGATGGTCCGGGGGAGCCTGTCTTCCCGCGACCCGACAGCCCCGCGGGAATGACACGCCCCAGGCCGGGCCGCAGCCCGTGGACCACCGTGTGTGCTCGGTACCAGCACCTTCGCTGCGCCCATTTTATGCCCCCGTGTTCTGAGTCACTGTCAGGATTAACTCCACCCTCCCTCTCCACGTGGAACTTCATCAGTTATTTCAGGGGGCCGGCAGTTGGACACCCACTCTTAATCCTTCTTGATTTCCGTCTTTTGCTGTCTGTGCAAGTGGATGCGTTGGCATGAGAATGCACTTCTAAATAATAATTCAAGCTTGCGTCATGCCACTTCTTTGAACAAACTAGCCAGGAGCTTAAAATGCGTCCTCACCATGTTTCTAGTCCTTTCTTTCAGATGAAAGGACCTTCTCTTTACCCTGCTTGTATCTGCGTTTTCACACTCAGAACAGTGCCCCACCTCAGAGAGCAACCAGTTCAGTTCAGTCGTACAGTCGTGTCTGATTCTTTGCGATCCCATGGACTGCAGCAGGCCAGGCCTCCCTGTCCATCACCAACTCCCAGAGTTTACTCAAACTCATGTCCATCGAGTTGGTGATGCTATCCAACCGTCTTATCCTCTGTCATCCCCTTCTCTTCCTGCCTTCATTTTTCCCAGCATCCGGGTCTTTTCACATGAGTCAGTTCTTCACATCAGGTGGCCAAAGTATTGGAGTTTCAGCTTTAGTATCAGTCCTTGCAATGAATATTCAGGAGTGATTTCCTTTAGGATGGACTGGTTGGATCTCCTTGCAGTCCAAGGGACTCTCAAGAGTCTTCTCCAACACCGCAGTTCAGAAGCATCAATTCTTTGGGGCTCGGCTTTCTTTATAGTCCAACTCTCACATCCATACATGACTCCTGAAAGAGCCATAGCTTTGACTAGATAGACCTTTATTGACAAAGTAATGTCTGTGCTTTCTAATATGCTGTCTAGGTTGGTCATAGCTTTTCTTCCAAGGAGCAAGTGTCTTAATTTCATGGCTGCAGTCACCATCTGCAGTGATTTTGGAGCCCAAAAAACATTTATATAATTCTTTGCTGTTTAAAAATTATTTTATGTTTCACTGCATGTGAATCTCAGCAGTGATCCTTTGAGGTAGGTGTTTGTTATTGATATAATAACCATTTTATAGGTGATGAATCTGAAGCTCAGAAAATTGTTGCTTGTATGGGATTAGAAGAGAGAGAGAAATTGCCTTTAGGGGTGGATTTTTTCAGATTTAAACTCGAGCTTTATATTTCATCTAGTAGGGAGCTGAATATGTATAAGATGGATGCTAAGAGGGCCACGTGCATTTTAAATTTCTGAGCTCTTTGAGAGGGTGCGTTTTTAAAAAAACCACTTGAAGGGATCCTAGAGGATAGAGAAATAGAAAGCCATTTCTAGCGCACATGTTCTTTATTGAGGCAGTTTTCTGAGTATAACTCAGGCCCTGTTTCTTTTAAGGTGCCTCTGCCAGCTGAGTCCAGCCCTGACCACTCGCATTTTAACAGCGCCCTGAGACAAGCAGCCAGTGTGAGGCCCCTCCTGGTAGTTCTTCCCACACCAGGAAACCACCCTTCTGACCCCTTCCCCTGAGACTGGGCCTCTTGGAGTCTTTCTTTCCCTGTTAATTACCACCCTAGATTGTGACTTGCAGCTTCTCTCAGTCACTGTGATCTTCACACTCAGTGATCTCCTAAACTAGGAGGGGGGGAGATGACAGCCAAGGAATTTTCTCTGAAACACCTGCAAATGCTTTTTGATATTGCTTCCTACTTACAGAGCTCGTGGTGGGTTGAGTTGACCAGGTGTACTCAATACTGGACAAATTTCAGCCACAGACTAAGCTGCTTGAAGATTTGAGGGGAAACAAACAAACCATCTCTTTGTTTTGAATCAAGACAGTGCCTTTATTGGCTCAGGAACTCTTTTCCTAGTCAGTTTCCACAGAATTACAGTGTGTTTCTCCAAGGCCTGAAGAACTCTTAAGGTACCTGAAAGGGTGTTTTCGAAACGTGAGGCGGGAACTGCCAGTGGCTGAACGACCATTAGGTGTCTGCGTGCCTGTCCTTCTGTGGAGCGGAGAGTGATAGGCTCACCTGAATTACTTAGCTAAAATAGCCACTGGCCTGCAAGCGTGGTGTGAATTATCAGGATGATTGCTGCCGGCCACGTTCTGGCATGGCCTCTGGGCCAGCTGGGAGAAACCCCAGCAGACATGGCTGGACGATTCCTCTTCTCCCTCAAGGTTACAGTAGCCGTTTTGTGTTTCAGGGCGTGGTGCCTTAACCCTGCGTTTGACTTAGACCGTTCTTTCTTGGCAGCCTTTGCTTCTGCCAGGAGGTGCTTGAGTCAAAGATAAGTTCCAGGGGGCCTGCTAATAATGCTTGAAATAGATCCGGATAAGAAGTATCTCGAAGGTTAGCCCTGCTCTGGTGAAAGCCTTGGAAACTGATGCATACCAACTAGACATGGGCAAATAAATTAAAATTTGGTGTGCATGCAGAGTCGTCAGTGAGAAGGGTGTTAATTGACTTACATAACCCTTGGAAGAGCGTGCTTGCTCACAGAGGAATTCCCATTTTGTTTATGTGTCTATATTGTTGGGCTTGAAGTGTGGGCTTATAATTTGGTATGGGCTGGTACTTTAAAAATTTTGTTTTTACTTGTTTATGTGGTAAGATTTTTTATTAGTGCCTGTCTCGTGTCCTTAGCGTTATGTTCTTGGGTCCTCTAGGGCCAGATACAGACTCGTAGACCTGCGTCAGCCAAATTACTGGCCTGCTGAGAGGCAGCCATTTGCTTTTGGGAAGATTTTCTGGGCTTTGTCAAAATGGGTGCCTGCCCTTCCTCCAGAATGCATTCTGTTGGCGCTTGTGTCTGCGGATGTGGGTGGGACACTGATGCTGGTCCTCGTGGCTCTGCGCTCAAGACCAATCTTCATCTGGAGGATGTGTGCCTGATTCAAGTTCAGATTGGTTTCCTGGTGGTCTCAGAGTCCGCATTTGAGCCTCGGGGTCTCCCCAGACTGGAATTCAACTCCTAGTGGCCTCAGTCATTCTAGAGCTGCCTCAGTCTGCTCCTGTGTCCTGAGCAGGAGAATTTCATTCCTGAGCAGGGGAATGAAAAGGATCTGTTTCCCTGGAAGAGACTAGGCAGGGATAGGTGAGGGAAGGCAGGCAGGCAGAGCGGTTTCTGTTCAGCGAGACAGCAGACAAAGGTGAGAAGCCTTCACTTCGGTTCCAGATGATGTGTCAGTGCGCCGATTTATGTACTAAAGTATAACATGTATTCTTTTTTAAATCGAGGTGTTTAAACACCTCAGAGAAGCTACCCGTGTTTTCATTTTTTACTTTATGGCTGTGCTGGGTCTTCACTGGCTGCAGCGGGCGGGCCCTAGTCTTCATCATGGTGGCGTCTCTTATGGGGCCCAGGCTCTGGGGTGCAGGTGTGGGCTCAGTAGTTGGGGCCCACAGGCTTAGTTACCCTGCGGCACCTGGAATCTTCCCAGACCAGGGGTTAAGCCCGTGCTTGCTGCGTCGCGTCGGCAGGTGGGTTCTCACCCACCGGACCACCAGGGGAGGCCTGTGAGCGGCGCCTGACGCTGGATTAGTTTCGTGTGCACAGCTTCTGCTCCCGGTCATCGTGCAGAGTCAGTTTTCTCCTTGTGATGAGAACTTTTCAGGTACACTTTTCTTGGCAACTGTCAAACTTGTTGCAGTATTTTTGACCATGATCACTATGCTGTGATTATATCCCCATGACTTATTTTATAACTACGATAAAAGTTGTCTTCTTGACCTTTTCTCTTTTATTCCAACTTCATTGTTTATTCCTCTTACAGTTCCACGTGTAAAGTGACTTACCCAGTGTGTTGGTGAATTCTGCTCGCTCTTAGGGACCAAGGCAGTCTGGGAATAAGAGAGTCTGTTGGCGTTTTCATCACTGTGGTTCTGGAGCGTGCCTGCTGAGTCATTCTGGTCTGTGACCTCTCAGCTTGCTTCACAGGAGGCCACCTGGCCTTGCCTTCCCAGTCTTGTCTCCAGTCGTGATGCCATCGTGGACCTCAAAGCCAGATTTGAAAATGAGGCTTATTTTTATGGTGGTTTATTGGGAGGTGGGAGAGCTGGGGGAGTACTGACACAAGTTGTCTAACCACCACCTTTTATTTGCTCCTTAGCCAAGTTTTTGTTCTGCCTACTTGAAGTCCGATAAAGGAGCTGTCTACTGTGATGTCGGCTTCAGAATTTTCTCTGTATTTTACAGTAGCCAAGCTGTCATTGTGTGTAGATGAAGCATAGTTCTGTTACAGGTAGAGGGTTGGACAGGTCTTGTGGGTAAATTAAAATTAAGTCCTTGCTTATTTTCATCTTTACAGTGTACTTTAAAGTACACATGTTTATAGTCTGTGTGTAGGTGTGTGTTAAATAGACCTGAGTTATGACAGGAGCACGCTGTTGTTTAGCCCCCGCCTGCATCACGACCGGGAACACCTGTGGCCCCCCACCCCAGCCCTCCATCAGCGCTCCGGTCCGGGAATGCCGGGCCCAGCAGAGGCACCCACGATGCGGGCCTTGTGAATTGGGCTGCGTTCGCTGGCTGTGCTGTGTGCAGAGTCCCCGGTGTTGTTGAGGTGTCAGCAGCACACTGGCCTTCGTGCTGAGAGGTCGCCCACCGTACAGACATACCACAGTTTGTCGT